GGAGACCAGCAACAATCTGATCAGAGTGAGGAGGCTTCACTTAAGTACCAGGGATGGGAAGGAGGGGTGCAGTTTCACAGCATTTAAGAAGAAAGTCAGCAGGACTTGGGGCAGATTTGGCTTGGTGGTGAGGGGCAGAGGAGTCAGAGAGAACCCCTAGATTTCAGGCAAGCATTGGAGAGACATCAGGCATGGAAGAAGGAAAAAGGTTTAAGTCAAAACAGAGTTGGTGGAAGAGGAAGGGTCCAGTTTTGTGAGTTGAACACAGCCCTACGCAGACAGACCCTGGGCTGTCCATTATTGACTGCTCCTGCCCCAAAGCAGTCTTTCCCATCCCAGCTCAAATAATGAGGCATCTCCAGGTGGCTTTGAAACACTAAATTTATGAATGCATGAGCCTGAGGTCCAGGAACACTCTTACGTCATATATGAGATCCAGGTGGAGACTGATTACATAGTTAATGAAAATCCAGAGTTTTATAAGCATTGAGTAAAGAGGCCCCAAAGAGCTGAGGGAAGCCTGAATGACTGTTATTCTGCCTGCCCGGGACGCACCACAATTTAAGTACAGTCTTCTGGATTTAACTATCAATAGGCAAAGGAAAGAACAACACATTCATTTGGAAACAGGCTGCCTCAAGCTTTATAAGCCACAAAAAGTACAATTTACCAACCTACACATTTCGGGCTGAGTGTGGGGTTTTAGATACACCTTCCAGATGCCATCTCCAAACAAGTCGTGCCCAAACACTAAGGGACTTACTCATTTCAAGGGGAGAATTACGACTTTTTTTTTTTTTGCAGTTTCTACTTATTTTGTACATGCCTAAGATTGTTTTGAATTTTTTGAATTTTTAATTTAGAAAGATTAGGTGGAAAAACATACAGGAGTGAGAATCCCTCAGAAGATCAAGGTATCAGAATAACAAGAGGTACTATGGATTTTTCTCCAGTTCTAAAATATGAAACTTGAGGGCTGTGGCTGTCAACTGGGAGTGACTGGAAGGGCCTTTTCTTTTTCTCCTAAGGTTGTTAAGAGTGCATACAAGACATATGACCCTTGCCTCTGGGTCAATTCAAACATTCTGGTATCTTTCTGTGTGTGTGTATGTATGTGTAAACATACATATATATACATATATATGACATTCATATGTATATAGAAACTTACAAATTGCTTGGAAGAAAATAGGTATCTAATAAAAATCCTATGAAATAACTGATTGTATTCTTGTTCTTTCAGCCAAGTGTACGTTTAGAAAATACCACATAAAACTGTGAGAGCATTTTGTAGGCAGTTGTTTTGGAAAATTTCACACACACACACACACACACACACACACATATTGAGGATTATTTTTCCTTCTAAGTATTTTAAAAAGTTGACCCTCTCCCTGGGTCAAATTGCCAGAATAATTTGTTTTTAAAGATGCTACCTCCCAGAGTAGGGATTCTGAGCAATTGACCCTGAAAACTTTTAAATTTCAAACTTAATTCTACTACTCAAGCAAAAGAATGCGTTTTTAAAAAAGAAAATCAATGTATGATTAAGGATATGCCAGCTGCCTATGTTTGAAAATGAAGAAGGCATATAATGTCATAACCTGGTCATTTATCTGTTTTATTTAAGTCTTCTGCTGCAGACACATGATGCAAAAGGAGGAGATTGGTGGCTAAAAAGGTTGCTTTTCTTTCATTTAAAATCTGTCCCCAAGACTAGGCTGTAATTGTAGTGATGACAACAGTGCCTGTGTGACCTGCTGTGCACCTGTCTCTTATCCTCAAAGAGGACAGGCACTCCAGGTGGAGGTGAAGGAGCAGGGCATATTCACGGTCTGGAGCACACTGGTTCCCCCTGACCCCACTGCAATCTCCCCTTCCAGACTGGACTCTAGCACCTGCCACCGTCCTACTTAGAGGTCCTGCTTGGTGAAACAAGCAGCAGATGAGGACAATTGGAACCGGCCCTTAGGACAGCCTCTCCCTAGCAATACCTGGAGGACTGCCTTCCATCATAAAGGTTGAAAGGAGGCATGAACCGAGGAAGAGCAGGAGGGGCTGGGGTGAGAGCAGAAGGAAGGGTCGGGAAGAAGGAAGTCCTGCCCCATGTGATGAGGCAGCTGCCACAGGGAGGTTGGAAGGTGTCAGTTTTTACAGCTGATATACAAGCACTGCTTATCCTCTTTCCCTCTGAATAAACTAATCTAATGTTAACATGAAGAAAAAGCTACTCACCGTGTCTGCAGTCTTTCTGGGGTGTATCCCTGTCATTCCCTATGTGCATTCCTCACTCCTCATTTGCCTGGATCCCCTGTGCCCCTCGCTCGCAGGCCCCTCCACCACCCACTTCTTCTCTGCCTACCCCTTAGACCGACAAAAACATAATGAGTGTGAACTCATGATGACCTGCAGGTTCTGACTCCATTCACTGCCTCAACCCAGAGGCCCTCATCAAGGAGGGGATTATGTATGTGCCATGGAGAAAGTCAAAGGAAAGGTCAACATCCCTAGCAGGGAGGTATACTCATAAATCAGGATTCTGTTGACATTTGTATTCCAAGGGTTCTTAGTGAAAGCAGCACTGACTGAACTAAAACTCATTGGCATTTCCTGTGATTATATTTTCAAATCATGTATTTTCTATCTGGGAGGACAGATTCCCCAGTATGAACATCAAGGGTTCAAGTGTTAACCCTTCTCATGAAGGCATCAGACTTAGCAAACAGCCATCATGGAGGTGAGAAGTGAGATGTGAGCCAGAGAACAAGTCCTGAGCGTCCTAAGTGCCCACGCTCATAGTCTCCTAATATATCCACTGCCTACAGAGCGTGTGGAGAGCGGCCATAACTCTCAGGGGTGAGGGTGGACAGAAGAGGCAAAAAGAGGCATTTCTATAGTTCCTTTGTAACTAAATAAAATTTCCTATAAAATTCTTGCTTGTATTTTTCCAAAACACAGTCAAACTTTAATATATTAGGTTATATGTGTCACAATTGTGCTAAATTTTTAATTTTTCTTACTTCTCATAAGCATTTTTACAAGTCTAAGTTATATTTGTCTCCATATTTTTACTACTTTGAGTATAAGTACTGTGTAACTGTGATTCTGTCATGTTTCAGCAACTTATTTTTGTTTCTTTTTCTTAAAGTGGTAACTATTTTTTTAAAGTACATGCTTTAATGTCTTACAAGCTTAATTCAATGGGAAGAGGCTCGAAGCCATTAAGAACCTTAGGCTGTACTGCCCCCTTGTGGCCACTTTTTAGCAAACCAACCAGGGCAGCCAGCAGCCTGCCTTGACCATAGAGCTTCTAGACAGGGGGCATTTTTGCACTTCACTGTTTAACGTTTATCTCTGCTGGCACTACTCCCGTGTGGACAAGAAGTATTTCCACAGCAGTTCAGGGTGGATGATGCCCAACTCACTCTCGTTGTTTCGTAGAATAAGAGGAACATCAATGGAGGCCACAGAGGAACATCAGTTGGCTGGGGCCAATCTCTGTAGATCTATGAACCTTGCAATCTCACGACCTTGCAACAAGGTCAGAAGATGTTTTGTGACAAAGTATTTTTCAAAGTCCATAAAACACCACAAGCCCCTCCCTCATATCCCCTCATATATCCAACAATGGTTGCAGGTACCAAGTGTTTGAAGCAATCAAATACGATTGAGGTAGGTGGGTTTCTTTTTCATTTACAGTCACCTTTCTCCATCACTGTTATCACATCATATAATTTGAAACTGAAAATTTTGTTGAGTCTGTCAGTCCAACCCACTCACTTTACAGACAAAGAGCACAGCCCACCCCAATCCCCGAGATCCTGATGTAACAGGTCTAGGGTGGGCCAGAGCACTGGCATGCTGTCTGTCAATCACACGTGGGGTATCCCCATTGCACCTGGGCAGATAGCGACCAGCTATTGGGTGGGGCAGGTGGGAGTAGTTCTAACTCCCTTCACGTTGGCATCATGTTCATGAGAGTTGGGTCTGGAATTCATGGGGACCATGCTCGTGGCTCCAGCTTAATCCTGACTGCACAACGGGTCACCTGGGGAATGTTACAAATAGGGACACAAGTCCCACCCCCAAGGATTCTGATT